CTAATTCGGCGTTACAGGGAGTTGTAAGCGGCTTTCACTTTTTTTTACAAAAATTAGAAATTCGACTTAAAATTTGTGCTTGAGTTGAGACGAAATCACCCGTATATATATATATATATATTGTAATACGAAGGTAAATGCTTTAAAACGTATTTATTTAAACGTAAACGTTAAAAAAACGCCAAAAACATCGCTTCTTCCTCTCACAATCAAATTTCGTAAGAACTACTTCGTGCGGAGTGTGAACAATCCACGGAACTTGCTTTTTTTCTTGAGGTGACAAGGAGTATGGGAACTGACAAAAGTGGTGACTAGAGACGGGGGCTACGGGGTGTGCACATCGGAATAGCGGATATTCACTGGGCGCCATATTTGAGGTAACTGCTTACAGCGCATGCTCGGGAGGAGTTTCCCGTCAGCTCTCGGGCAATCACGAGAGAAGAAGGGAAGGAAAAACTCTCTTCTTGCCGGGACTCTCCTTTGTACGTCCCAGGCTTCCCCTGAAGTCGCTATTCTCCCTCTGGGAGATTATAGAAGATTAACTTTCACTCGAAATTCGTACAAAAGCAGCTTTCCCCCTCTCTCTCTTCCCCAGTGGTTCGAAAGCCGCAGCGAGCTCAGCGATGACCGCCAGTGAATACAACCTATACACCTTTCCAAGAAACACGACCCCACGGGCAGCAAAGTGTTTTCGAGCCCAGTCACTGGGTTTGAGGCTAGACTCTCACCGGCGTCCCTGCTCAGTGTCGCCATTTTAGCGATTTTGTCGCTAGATTTAGCGATTTTTATACATTTAGCGGCGGATTTTTTTTTTATAATTTAGCGGCTAGTGACTTCTTTAGCTACTTTGGTGTTCAACCGTAATCTTGTTACTTTTAACAATTTTAGAGATGTTCGCGGGCTAAACTAAACCCTTTTGCTTCTCTGTCCCAGTATGCTTTAGATATATGCTCAATTTAGCGGCGCGCTTATAAAAAAATATTCAACACTGTCAACACTGCAGACCATCTCTCCCGCGCCCACGTACCTACGTGCTCTCCGCCGAGCGTTGCTACCGCCAGCCAAGAGCGCAGCCGCTCTTGGCTGGCGGCTGCTCTCTTGGGTTTCGCTTTCGACTACGAACTTTCAAAGGTTGTTCGGCGAAACGGCACAGCTGAAGCATACAAAGCTGGCAACGAACCGTCGACATCGGCAGATTTAGATGACTTGAGTGCAGTCACTATCGAGGAAGAACTCTTCTTCTTCTAGACTGTTCTGTCGAACTGTTCTTGAAGACAACGCAGTCATTATTTCCGTGTTAAAATTAACAAGGATCCGTTTCTTATTCGTACTTTCGTACTCACCACCTAGTAGCTTCCCGAATAAAACATTACAAATAAAAACCGTCCGTGTTGTTTTTCAGTGTAAGTTTAACCTCACAAAATACCTGAGATATGATTATTTGAGGTTCGCTTACTTTAAAACAGTATAATAAGCTTTTGGAATCCAGCGAATATTTTAGCGACTTCCTGGCAAATCTAGCGACTGTTTGGTGACTTACTAACCTCAATTTATCGGCGCGCAAGAAAAAATGGCAACACTGTCCCTACAAATCCAAGCCGAGTGGACTGTGATTTCGATAGGCGCAGCCTGCGTAGGCGCAGTTTCGAACTGTGCTGGCGGCTAACTTCTCATCTTTTCCCGCTGTATTTTGTGTTTCATGGTGCATGTATTTTCCCGAGGTCATTGAGAAAGCATTGTACCACATTTAAAAAAAAAAAGTAATAAAAAATTTATAAAATATTTTTGTTGGGTACGCGCGCGACAGAACGAATGCGACTGGATATATAGTTCTAGTTATTTGTGTTTTCTTCTTACGACAGGTTTTGACGGCACCGCGCGATTCACCGGATGTCAAACGATAGCGTTTAGCTGTCAAAAATAAATTACAACGGAAGAGAGCCGAAAAGCATGCATTTTTTACGCTCACAAATAACGTGTCTCCCGTTGGACAGGACACGGACATACAATTTAATGAGTGTTGTCATTCGAGCAATATATTGTACGCACCACACGATGCAGCGTTATTTGAAAATAATTTATTTGAGCAAAATCTCAAATAATACAGTCAGCGTCGACGATAGTCGACGACTTGACGATCGGACGGAATCCAAGATGACTTCGTTTTGGGGCACGTTTTGGGGAGAGGTTCTTTTTTTTTTTTTTTCTCAACAGAACCAACGCAAAGAAACGAACGCGACTGACCCATTTCCCACCCCAACCCGGACAACTATTTTTGAAGGTGACTGAGGATTCTACGCGGATTATCTCTGGGAGGGGAGAGAACAATGTTCGCAAAATCGCGTCGAGAGTCGTTCGACGTCCTTCAGCTCCTTCGTTCCCCGTGAATGTTGAGCAGAAAAGCTTGAATGGCAGACACTTAGCAGCCTTATTTCTCACAATGGAAGAAAACACAAAAAGGGTATGCAGCACTCATAAAAAAATTAAGTGGAAACTTTCAAGAGGGGCGAGAAAATGTCGAATGCAAAACCGCAAAAACGTAGGTAGAGAACCGCACTGAGCGGGTCTTCACAGTCCAAGAGAGTGGCAGAAAATGTTTAGCTGAAAGAGGGCGCGGAAGTCGCACCAGCCGCATCAGCATCAGCAACATGGCGGCGGCCTAAGAGCGTTTTTTGGAAAGGTGTATAGGCACGCAAAATCGCGGAGCCCCCCCCCCCCCCCCCCCCCCCCCGCCCCCGCTTTTCACCTTGCAGTTTTATCAGTGGTTGCCTATAGGTAAAAAAGCATGTATACGTAAGCCACGCGTTCCCCACTTTGAATTTCAGTCGTACTTGGTAGTACTTGATATATGTTTCAGTCAATATTACCGCGGCGCCATTGAGTTGAAAACCTAACTAATACTTTACCTAATCCCGAATCCCACTCGTCTCGCAGCCACGGTGCGAAGGTACTGAAATGTCCGAAAGAGTCTCCCGAACCTCTGCCGTCAACGCAGATGTCAGGTTTAGTTTTCATCAAGGTTTGGGCGGAGCAAGGTGAATGATCCTCTAGGAAAGGGAAGTGTCCGGGAGAAAGGCTAAGTATTGATAGAAAAGAGGGCGGGATGTGTTCCACTATTGCCGGATGAAACTTGTCTTCGTTTTTTGATGAAGGGATGAGACCACATTTTTGTAGCCATTCTCAGAACAGTACAGACAAAAAGAAACGTGCGTACACCTTCCCAGGATATTAGAAAAGGATGAAAACCGCGATCAAGCTTTTAGACCCAGCAGTTTCCAAATTTTTTTTTGTTGGTAATTTTGAATTCGAAATATATGTACCGTCGACTGCTTTTAGGGTTTTATTTGCTATATATTGAAACGCTAAGCCCTAGGTATTATATCAAATAATAATACGTTATTAGCGCTTCATCATCGTCGTCATTATTTATTTTTGCTAAAGGGCTTAAGGGCATTATACGAAAGAGTGAAGACATAAAAAAGCACAGAATTATTTAATAACAGAACACGCTGTAGTCTTGTTATGGTTACAAAAAAGAAGGTAATGGCAATAGCAAATTTATCAGTGTCAGTTATGGAAACAATTGGGTCAGGTAATGCGCTCCAGTCGATAAAGGCCGATCGTAAGGTTGACATTGCATGAGTGACGGTTGACAATGAAATTGAACGGAGTTACAAGCAACTTGTAAACTCCGTGCGCTTGTTGTGCGATATGTTTTTTTAGAAAATATATAGGACCTTCGTTTTTGCTGAGGTGGAGTACTCAACGAAATGAAATGGACCAGCAGAGCGCGTGACCTCGCTAAGGCCCGTATATACTGAAAGGTAGCGCAAACCATTGTCTGAAATGGGGAAGAGAGATTTCCCCTCGCCCATGCCCTTTTCCTCTCAAAAGTTCTCTTACCCCTCGCTTCAATTGGATCGGGCGCGACACGTGGCCGTTGCCTTCCCATGATCCCGCGTGATTCGGTGGTCTGCTAGAAACCGGCGTCATCGCTGGGCGAGATGTAGCGGTGGCTCCGTTGTTAGCGGACGTAGTTTTTTTTTTTTTCATTTTTTATTACGATCTCAGCGGCAGCGCGATGCCATCATGCTGCCCTGTTGATTGCACAAACAGCATTGCGAAAGGACCGAAGCTTTTTGCCTTCCCGACGGGAAAAGAAAATTTTCAGCGACAAAGACAATGGCTCCACCGGATCGATCGGAAAAGTTTCGACAATCTCCGAGGAAGACTTTGCAAGGTAAGTTACTTGAAATCTCTGAATCATATCACCTGTCTCTTTCGGTCTCGCCGATGAAGATCGCCTAGTACGATCATTGGGCGAGATAAACACGGAACAAAATTACCGCCATGAAGAACTTTGACACGTCTTTCTCCGCGTATTCGATAAGAGCGATGCTATATGCACTACGTAGTGCACTTTGGACGGAAATTGCTATATGCACTACGCTGAGAGCTCATGCCGCTCGGGCCACCCTTTTTCGAACTGCGCGTGTGCAGATACACGGCTGCTAATTAGAAAAGTTAACCAGTACACGCCGCTTCGCGGCGTCCAGCCGGCAACCCAAGCCCCGCTGTCCCCGATCTGCGAAGTCTGCGAAGATTCGTCGACAACACTCGGTGTTTTAAAAAAGAAAAATAAATATCGCCAAATGCCTCGTCAAAACAACGTTCAAAAAAAAAAATGTAGGATCACTGCGATTCGAACCTGTGTCCACTTGCGTACGAAGCGGACGCGCTAACCCCTACGCTATGCCACCTTTTTTTTCTTTTCTTTTTTTTTCTTTTTTTTTTTTTTTTAAACACATTTATTTACATATTATTTACAGATGATTTCCACTCGCAGGTGGTTTGCACAACAGTTGAACAGATAGACTTACAAAGCAGAACGAACTTGACCGTCACTGGCCCGAGCAAAACAGAGGAAAGATACGTTATATGGGCGTGGGCATGACGTATTTACAACACAACAGGGCGCCCCCGCGCAGCGCCCCCCTCACTCAGCTTCCCCGCACTGGCTCTCGCGAGGTAGCCGCCAAACCCCACCACGCTGAGGCCGGTGCCTACGGCGGATACCCCCGCCTCCAGCTGTCTTTCCACGCACCGCCACTCGTCGGTCGCTGTGCTTGTCCCCCTGTCAATCAGTGATATCACCCAGTCCAGCTTGGCCACGAAGTAGTCCCAGGTTGGGCGTGCGTCTATGTGGCATTGCACCATCGCAGTGCGCGATTGCCAGATGGCGTGCAGTCCTAGTAGCACCAACACATAGGTCACCTCTGCCGTCTCCCTGCCGCCTAGAGCCAGATACTTGAGGTTAACCCACTCTACGTCGAAAGCTGTTCTTAGGTTGAAAATCGTCCTCATCTCGTCCCAGAACAGGTAGGCGTTCGAGCACTCGACAAGGACGTGTTGGATGGTCTCGGTGGCACCGCAGAGGTCGCAGTTGAGCGACCAGAACACAAAAATCCCCCTCCGGTGCAGCCATGTTTTGACTGGAAGCACCTCCAGATGCATGCGCACAAAAAAGTCCTTGCTGGCCGCAGACAGGGAGACGGCGCACGAGCTTGAAGAGTCCTGCTGTGCCGTCGGGTACTGGCGGCGGCCTATACAAAGGCGATGGAAAGGTCACAGAAATTGTGTCCCAGTAGAGTTTTCTTTTGCCGACGGTCGCCAAATAGTCCCAGGAGAACCGAGCCAGGAAGAACTCGTTGGAGGCCGCTATTTCGCTGTAAAAGCGCAATGCGGCTGCCTTCGCTGTGCGGCCACTGGTGGTCACCATCCATCTTCCCAGGTGAGGGAAGCCGAGGTGGTGTAGCGCACTCAGGAGAACGGGGTCCTTTGCGTCCCGGAAGAGGAGAAAACGCTGTACATGTAGCTTGAGCACGATGTTTACCAGGCCAAGACCTCCGCCCTCCTGGTGTAGGAAGAGGTTCTCCCGCCGTGTCCGTTCCATGGATGACTTCCAAACAAAGACGGCCCAGCTTCTGTGTATCCTCTTGGCCGTCACTCCAGGGCAGCATACGGCCTGCGCCCTGTAGAGAACGGCTGGGTATATGACAGCGTTGCATACGTAGGCATGGTTGAAAAAGGAGAGATGTCTGCACTGCCAGGGTGAGAGCTTGGATGATACCGAGTTGGCAGCCTTTTTCCATACTGTGGAGGAAGGTCCCTGTGGGTCAATAGGAACACCGAGATAGTTTCCGACTGACGTGGTCCAGCCAATCTCTGCGAAGAGCTTTGGCGTTGTTGCCCATCCCCCAAGCCACGCTCCCACCGACTTTTCCCTGTTTATCTACGCGCCTGCTGCGACGGTGAAATTCTCCACATGCCGCAAGATGGTCTCCACCTGTCTCTTGGAAGAGCAAACGAAGGATACGTCATCCGCAAAGGCTAAAACGCGGACATTCTCGTTTCCTAGCTGTAGTCCCGTGATAGTTTGGTCTTCATTGATCGCGCGACATAGTGGCTCAAGCTGCAGCGCGAAGAGAATTGGCGAAAGGGGGCATCCCTGACGGACCGACCTCCCTATGCGGATGGGCGCTCCCCTGTCTCCGTTGATGAGTAGGCGTGTGCTGATGTCGCGGTAGCAGAGGGCTATCCACCCCCGCAGCTCCTCCCCCACACCGAAGTGTTTGAGTGCTGCATGGAGAAATGTATGAGACACCCTGTCAAACGCTTGACGCAGGTCCAGCTGAATCACAGCGAGAGGCTCGTGACCCACAGCGGTCGCCTCGCAGACGGAGCGCATGGCGTGCAGGTTCCGCGCTATCGATCGGCCACGGATCCCGTAGCTCTGATGGGGCCCTATGACGGATCTAAGCCCAGTGTCGAGTCGTCTTGCCAGTATCTTGGCTAGAATCTTGTAGTCACAGCAAAGTAGGCTGATCGGGCGGAAGTCAGTGACCTCAGCTACAGGACTTGTCTTTGACTTCTTCGGTATCAGTACAGTAAAACTTTCCCTCATGGACGGGGGGAGCAGCTTGCGTTTCTTTATGTCCTCGAACACCTGAACCAGGATTGGGCAGAGCGCATCCGAGAAGATCTTATAAAACTCTGCTCCAATGCCGTCCGGGCCGGGCGCCTTGTTGCGTGACAGTCTTTGTATAGCTTGCTTGACTTCTGACAGTCGAATTGGACAGTTCATAAGGTCACTTGCTTCTTCGGGCACGAAGGCGGTCTCGTCCAGGGGGTCTCGAAGGCGGTCTCGTCCAGGTTTTCCTCTTGAAACAACCTCCCGAAAGCCTCCTCAAACGCGCCCGCAATTTCTTGCTGCGATGTTGCTACGCCCCTCTCGCCACGCACTTCCCTTAAGGTGTTTTCTCTCACCCTCTGTCTCTCATGTGTGCGGAAGATCTTGCAAGGCTGTATTTCCCCCTCAAGAGCCTGCACTCTGCTCCTGACTCGAGCTCCCCTGTAGCGCTCTTCGAGTATACCGAGCAGCTGTTCTTTGCAGTTCTTTATGTCGTCCGCAAACGTTCCAGGGTTTTGCTCCTCCTCCTCTAGAAGCATCCGCAGGGTCTTGGCCAGGTGGATTCGAGTCTCACGTGCCTCAGCAGCCCTGCAACGGCCAAACGCGCAGGCCGACTCCCGGAGATTTGCCTTAAAACTCTCCCAGGTGACCGCATCTACGCCGCTCTCGACCAGCCTCTCCAGAGCACACCTCGTTTTCCCGACAAACTCCTCGCTCTCCAGGACGCTGGCGTTCATCTTCCATGTTGTGTTGCGTCGCGCTCGCTCGGCCACCGGCGCGCCTGCTCGTAGAACTGTGGCGACGAAGCCGTGGTCCGAGAAGGGCACGATTTTCGCGTCATAGGATTGAACCCCGTCGGATAGCTCACTTGATACATATACTCTGTCCAGCCTGGCCTGGGATGCACCTTGCCATTTGGTAAAGCGCGGAGAGAAACTGTCGAGCACCTGAGTCACGTCCACAAGATCGAAGTCGCACACAGCGTCGCGAAGCGTATTGGCGCCCACATCGATTCTGGGGACCGTTGATCCGCGCACTCGGTCGCGGCCATTCAGCACACAGTTGAAGTCTCCCCCGACGACGAGCGTCGCGGGGGTCTCGAGCTGTGTACGGAGTCCAATGAAAAAATCCTTTCGCTCTGATGGGTTGCTAGGAGCATACACGGATATTAGTCGCGTTAGTTCATTCCCGATCAAGACGTCAACCAGCGCGAAACGTCCATCGGCGCAGAGTTCAGGATGAGCAATCCGGATGCCGGTACTTTTCCTGATTAAGACGGCGGTGCCTCCGGCGCGGTTCAGGTCCGAGGTTAGCGTGTGTACACACCAAAAGATGTGCCCGAAGAATTGGACGAAACTCTTTGCCTTCTCTGCCGAGCAGATTTTCGTCTCTTGTAAAAAGATTATGTCGGCGTGCTCTTCGTTCAGAAGATCCATTAAAAACCGCTTCCTCTTTCGTGCTGTTACGCCTACACAGTTGAAAGTGGCTATTTTAATGTTGTTCAAAAGGTTGGCTTATTTAGTTCTAGGGGACCAAGAGATAAGCGATGATAAGAGAAGCGGAAGGGAGAAAAAAAGGAAGAAAAGACCGTGAAGAGGGGAACGACGGCGAGGCCGCCCAAGGGGAAGGGAAAATTCTTCTCACCGACCGGGAAGGGGGCTAATCCTTCCCGTGCAGCGGCGGGTAGTCCAGGGATGACACATTCACTTCCCGGGGGCGCAGAGCTGGGATGGCCGCCTGCTCGTTCTTTCTATAAAAAAAAAAAACTTCGTTTCAGCTTCGGTCCGAGCACGGCCGATGTTATGAGCTGAAGGGCCAATCAAACAGCGAAACAGGCACAACGTCATGGCGTGCTCTCTGCAGTTGATAGGACCAGCCGGTATTCGCCGTGTCTCTGTGCGTGCTCCTCCGCCGTCTAGTCCTATCAGGCACAGAGAGCAGGCCATGACGCTGCGCTTTTTGCGCTGTTTGATTGGCCCTTCGGCTCATAACATCGGCCGCGCTCGGACCGAAGCTGAAACGAAGTATGGTACGCGATTTGTGGCGCGTGACCTTGGTGGTGCCCTTGGCGACTTCCTCCTCGCTCGTCTGAGAAGACCGCACCGGAGCGGCTGCGTCCGCTGGCATGTCGCTCGGCGATGCTTGCCTCTCCGACGCGCTTTCGTTGTTGGAGTCGTTAGAGCCCCTTGCGCGTTTCCCTTGTTCCACGGTGCTCGACGCTTTAGGGTTGTCTACCTTTGCTGGAACCTGCGGCAGCGAAGTTGCGTTCTTGGAGGTGGACGCAACGTCCGTCACCTTGTCCTTTCCCTCGTGTCCTGGCTCCTCCTCGTTACCCCCCTCGGCCGGTGTTACCGCCTCCATCGAGTTGGCGGCAGGTTCGCTTTCACCCACCTCACCGTCGTCCAGAAGGTCGCTGTTTTGAAGCGTGTCCGCATGTCGCCTGGTTTTGGCGGCGTAGGTGGGCACACATTCAGACTCCAGGTGACCATAACCTCGGCAATGGCGGCACCAAGGCGCCCGGCATTGTTTGCGCATATGCCCCAGCTTGCTGCAGCGGAGGCACATCGGAGGTCGGCCTGGGACAGATATTAGAACGGGGTACCCGGCCACTTTTCCCTGGTGTGGTAGCTCATCCTTTGCAGTTCCTTCCTTCATGGTGATTGTCACTGCCCTTGCCGAGGTTTCGACTTCGTAAGTTCCACTTGGGGTCTTCCACTTCTCCCTGGTGATTCGTGTTACGTTTCCATATTCCGCGAATGCTTCGCACACTTCTCCATCGGTCACGTACGTCGGTAGCCAGTTGACCCGGACGACGGCCTCCTTGACATTGGGGTCAATGACCACGCACTTTTTTCCTTTCACAGTGACTTCTTTCAGGGCCACGAGGCCTTCCTTTGCATCAGCGGAGTCCAGCGTGCATATCCACACGTGGTTGAACTGAAAAGCTCCCAGCCCAACCACGTGCTTCATGCCGACGGTTCCCTCGAGTGCTTCAGCAAAATCCTGCGTCCGGTAGGGCCTACCTTGAGGGTCTCCGTGGAGGAACACCGTCTCCGTCAGCCTCTTCCCACTTGGCAGCGCCGGCAAGATCATGCGGTAGCCTCCGGACTCCGTGGTGATCCCGTTGGTCACCGCAGAGGGAGCGGTCGCTCCGTTCGGCATCGCTCCTGACGCGGGGAGGGGACGAAAGGCACGTCCGTTCCCCGTGCGCGCTGAAGCCAAACCGCACGCTATGCCACCGGTTGGAAGACTCGTTGTGATCATTCATTTTATACGAGACAAACGTAGTGCATATAACAATTTCCGGCCGAGCTGCACTCCGGAGTGCATATAGCATTACTCATTCGACAATAAGAAACTGACTCGCTCAATCTTAGCTCGCTTGCATTGAGTT